GTTCAGTGAATACCTGTGTGTGTTTCTAAACTTCATTTCCAATGAACCAGACGTATAAACTACTCTCCTACACGGAAGTACAATATATAGTTTTGACCCTCCTGACTTCCTTTCTACTTTTGGGTACAGAATAACTTTTTTCAGGTGAAGCTTCCTAGTTGTTCTGGTTGAGATCTAAACTGTCCCCTAAAAGCTTCATTTGTTTAGAAGGTAATTGGGTCCTAGGGGCACTATACTCAATAATTGGATTAATCCACTGATGTGACCCACTGATGAGCTCATAGATAAATGTGCTACTGGGAGCTACGGCTTGGTTGGAAGAAGCGGGTCACTTGGGGAATGGTCTAGAAGGTTCTATCTCCCTCCCCAACTCTACCCTTCGATCTCTGCTTACTGGTCACCATGATGTGAGCAGCTATTCTTCACCAGACCTTTCCACCATGACATTTCCACCTTGAAACAATGAACTAAAAATATGAACTGAAATAAAAGCCTCTTCTTTAAATTGTGAGTGTCAGGTACTGTACCCCAGCAACAAGAAAGAGACTAAGATACCAACCCATCACCTGCCATACAAGTGGGACTGATCTTCCCCCATGACTTAGAAAAGGCATGTGAATAAACCTGACCATTGACTTTGGTCCGTCATCCAGCCACAGTGAATGAATGGTTCCTAGGTAGGCACACTGTCCAGTCAGATTACACCGAGTCATCCCCCTGGAGTTTGTTGGTACAAGAAAAGGGGGGAAGTGGAATTAGGCTACACTAACAGTAAAGCCAAAACCTGCTTACAGTTTTTGGTTCTTTGGATGCAGCCGACTAAATCTAAAGATCCATTCATGGACCATTCGATTACATAAACTATTTAGTTCTGTTTCTTTTTTTTTAATGGATTAAAGGGATTTTTATTCATCTACAACCAAAACAACCTTTGATTAATATGCACATGGCCCGATATTTTAGTCAGATTAAGATAAGTTCTGGTGAAGTAAATAAAATTTGAAATCTCTGTTGCTTGACACAATAAAAATTTTATTTTGCACACACCATGGTCCAATAATGACTGGACTACCTTCATCTATAACCTAAGTGTATTACATAGACATTCAGTTTCCAAAGTTTCTACAGTCTGACAGAAAGGGAAGGAAAGGTTACCCTGGCTCTTCAGTGGTTTGAACAAAAGGTAACAAAGCCACGGTTGCTCATATCCCATTGTCCAGTTTGGTCAGCTGGAGTCAAACTAACTGTAAGGAAAACTTGGAAAATATGGGGAAGTGGACGCACACTCACTGAGCAGTACCTGTCTGTATCAGTCAGAAGTCTCAAGGGGAAAAGAGCCAATAAATGCAAGAAGTGATTATATATATATATATATATATATATATATATGAGAGGGAGAAGGACAATGGGAGAGGGAGAGGGAGAATCATTTTAAAGAGTTAATTCACAGTGGACTGGAAACTTTAGCAGAAAAAGCCCTTTTGGGGAAGCCTGAGTTCTGTTTAAGGCCTTAGTTGATTGGATGAGGTTTAAGTAGATTAGTTAAAGTTGAATGTAGATGTCACCACATCTCTAAAAACCCTTCATACCAATGCCTAGAGTAGGGTTTAATGACTAGGTACTATAAACTATCCAATTTGATACAAAATTTGCCATCACATTATATCTGTGACAGACCCAGTGCCCTCGTTTCTTTTTTTTTTTCCTCCTAATATTGCTGTGGATGTAAAAATGCCTGCAGTACAGTGGCTGATTACAGTCATGTTGCTCTTGCTGAACATATTATATATTCTCCCCCCATACCACAAACTTTAATGTTTTAACATGATTATAATAATATTTTGCTAGTCATCAGGATGCTAACTCGCTTGGCACACTTTATCTAAATTCCAGTGCTATACTTTGAACTGCTTCTATTGATGTATTTATTATTTCATTCAATTAATGTTTTTGAGTTCCTGTTATGTATCAAATACATGAAGGGTCACTTTTTCAACCTAAGTATATGCATCTTCATATTGAGGAAGAATAAATATCAATAGTAAGCATTTGATGCTTTGTGACTAACCTTCACAAAACTTAGAGCCATCTTAGGGGGCAGCTGCTGCAATAATATGCGCTAATCCTTGCTTTCATTTTTATTTTTGTTAGTACATGTTTGCAGTACATCATGATTAATTCTTTGGGGGAGAGTTTGCATGTGTGCATAACATATTTTAATTCTTTTTTATGTCCCCTTCCCATTTGCAGAAGATCTATGTCCATATTTCGTATTAACTTTTATTTTGCCCTTTAATTTAAACCTTGGGTTTCTCATATAAGATTCAAGCTTATTCTTCCTTCTGGCAGAGTACTACTCTGTGTGCAGAAATACATTTTCTTTATCCATCCTTCCTTTGAAACAGCTTTGGTTTAGAGACAACTGGCTCAGCTTACTAAGTATACAACTCCATAATTCATACATTCAGGTCTGACTAGATCAGGAGCTGAGCTTTCAGTGAGATGGACCTACAACTTCTGCCTAAAGTAAGAATAATGCAAGTAGGAAAGAACACACCAGAAATCTTCTAAAGAGTTTCAGATAAATACACTGTGTTAGTTACTTTTCTCATGGCTGAGAAACAATACCCAACACCTGCCACTCTAAGGAGAAAAAATTTGTTTTAGCTCCTAGTTTTTAGAGGTTTTTGGACCATCAGCAGCTGGCTACAACGCCAGATAGAATGGCAGAGGGGCCTGACAGAAGAAAACCAGCTCCTGGTGTGGCCATGGGAAGCAGAGAGAGATCAAGGGAGGGAGGAGGGCAGGAGTTATACCGTCCCGGGCTACGCCCCCCAGTGCCCGTCTCCTCCAACCACGCTGCACCTCCCTACATTACATTTAGCTAAGAACTCATCAGTAGGCTAACCCACCTAGGAGTATCACACCCCCATGATCCAGTCTCCTGTCCAAGGCTCCTATGAGCATGAGGCTTTGAAGGGACATCTTGCTATAAACCATAACAACCAGACATAAATATTCACACGCCAGTCATTCCCTCAGTGTCACCCGCAATATCTTGGCCCTCACCACCTCTCATACAAGTAGGAGCTCCGTTCTTTGGTCACCGAAGAAAACCAAGGATCATTTACACATTACACTTAATAGAAAACAAAAAAATAGGTGATATTGGCATATTTCTGTATCTTGACATCCTTAAAATTTCCATATTATTGCAATTAAAATATGCAGAATCTGGGAGAAGATATAAATGGTAACAGAGAAATACTTTATTAATCTTGTTTTAAGGAACTCAAAGTTGAAATGTGGCATAGAAGGTCACAAGAGCTGTAGTGATGACTCTAGCAGGATGGAAAAAATGTGAAAATTAGCATTATGGGTGCAATCAACTTTGGACTAGATAACATCAGCATTTTATTTCCAGGCCTTATATCAATCATTTGTGACAGTAAACCAGTTATATATTACTACCTATCTCACAAAAACGCGCAGTGGAAAAAATGTTTTGAATTTTTTAAAAAATTCACGTACATTCAAAGAAAGAGTTTCAATTTCCTCTCACTAATTCTATAAGAGTTCTCCTAAGTCTGTTTATATTTGGACTCCAACCTCTGGATTGCAAATCTATTTAAGTTCAGTATTAAGCCAAGTGGTTAAGTAATAATACTATAGAGATTCACTTAGAGAATAAACTACTTTCAAAACTGAATTAGTTGGCCAAAGAAATGCTTCAAATCTTTTCAAAATTAAATAATCAATGCTAAACTTATGTTAAAAATTGATAATACAACATAAACTATGATGACTCAATTAATGGCAAAGCATAACAAATTTCTTTAAAATGTGTATCCAACATCTTAGTCTACTACAAAATCCCTTACCATTGTCTATACTTTCAAAGGCATTAATATCAAGTGAATAAATAAACAGTCAAAATGGAGCTCATGTATATTCAATTCTCTTTTGCTTAGGGTTTAAACAATAGGTTTAAAAATACACTCAGTACCTGCATATACCAAGTTTAGATTGAAACCAGAAAGAAATTAGTTAAAAATGGCCTTTTCTAATTATTTTTTAATAAACAGGAGTAGAAGAGTAGTATGTCAAATGACTATCTTATTATTATAAGCCTCAAACTTCAGAAGACAAGAACAAAACTATACCAGATTAATATAAACTGACAAAACCAGAATAAATTTACATTTATTTCTCATTCAGAACAAAAGCTCCAGCACTAGCTACAAGCAAACACACAATACATTATTTTGTTAATATAGCTATGATAATTAATTGCATTAACCCAAGACCTTTATTATCAAATCTGTGGTATTTTCTTCAGAACTCATAACAGATGAAAATTTTGCCTGACATTTGTAAATCATTCCTAGAAATCCAACAGTGGCACTGTTAGTACTATGCTATGTTAATACCACTAAACTGTACTTGCTAAATTTTTTAGCTAAAAATGTAAAATACATCCTAAAGTTACATAATATTTGTTGAGAATGTTATGGAGGAAAACCTTAAGTGGTATATCTGAACATTAGCTGTCTTTTGAAGCATATTAACTTCCCCCAAAACTTCATGTCATAACATAACAGTACAGCTGTCCCTCAGTAAACTGTGGATTATTTCCAGGGTCACAAACCTGTTCATGCAGCCAGAAAGTATGGCACATGCCTGTACTATCAGCTAGCGAGGGACCTAAGGCAAGTAGTCAAACTGGGCAATCTAGGGCCTATCTCAAAAAATTTAAAAGGGCGTCAGCACAGGGGAACAGGGCTTGACTAGCGTGCACAAGGCCCACAGTTTGATCCCCAAACTACAAAAAGAAAAGAAAAAATTTAGATGCCCTAGTCCCTTATATAAAATAGCATAGCATTTGCATAAAATCTATTCACATCCTTGCATACATTTAAATCAAATTTTGATGATTTACAATACCCCATACAATATAAATAACATGCAAATAGTTGTAATGCTGTATTATTTAGAGGATAATGTCCAGAACAGGAAGTCAGCACACAGTCGGTACAGATGTAACCACAGTAGACCTGACTGCACACCAAACAAAGAAGACCCAAGACAAGCACTGCCCAACCAGCAGGGCCTGGATGCTGAGGGACTGTGAACCGTGCAAGACCACAGCAGTGTCTGCCCACACTGTGCTTCACTTCTACACTTTCAGCACAGTCCGGGGTGCTAGGAAAATTCAAGTTTTGCATTTTGGAACTTTCTGGAATTCTCTTCCTGAACACTTTCAATCCAAGCTTGGTGGAGCCCAAGAAGTAGATGCAGCAGCATGGACGTGGAATTCCAACTGTATCATCTATCGCTCTGTGTGGGTCAGGAACCTAGGAGCAGCTTTGCTGAACCCTCTGGCTCTATGTCTCTCAGAGGGCTGCAGGCAAGTTAGCAGTTGGATGTGCAATCATCTGAAAATACAAAAGAGGAGTGATTAAGACACGGTGTGTGCAACCAGAATGAAACCCACTACACTGTATAACCAATGTGCACTAATAAAAAATGTGGGACTGTTTCAATAAAAATAAAAATTGAAGAGTACAGAGTCAAAAAGAAAAAGCCACAATTAGTAGAGGAACTGCCTCAACACCCCAGTGGCTCTTGGCAGAATTCAGTTCCTGGCATACTATTCTGCACTAACTCTCTGCTGGATGTGGCCATCAGTTCATTATAGTGTAGTTGTCTCCGTAGGGTAGCTCACAGCACAACAGCTGCTTTGTTAGAACAAGTGAGCGGGAAGAGCCAGAATGTGCAGACAGGGTGGAAATCACAGGCCCTTACAACATAATCTCAGTGATATCTCAGTTCATTTTTCCTGCTCCATTTCCCAAAAAAAGCCACTAGATTCTACACACACAAAAGACAGATATTTATTACACAAGAGTGTGACTATGATGGGGTAGGGATTGTTATGCTATTTCAGAAATGGCCTACCATGTGCAGCTATTATATAAAATGATATGGCCTGTTGGGTTGAAAACCATGTCCCTTCCAAACTCATACACCTCCTAGATCCTTATGTGACTGTCTCAGTTACTTTTCTCACTGCTGAGACAAAATGCCTGACATCCAAAGTTAAAGGGGGAAAGATTTATTTCGCTCACAGTTTGTAGAGGTTTCAGTTCACAGTCAGCTGGCTCGAAGGTAGGGTGGCTCATGGCAGAGGGGCAACACTTCATGGCAGCAGGAGACAGCAAAAGCAATGAGAGAGAGACAGAGAGAGAGGAGGCTCTTTCTGCCCCTTTTACCTTATCCAGACTGCTGAGATTAGGGCAGTCACCCAATTTTAATCCCAGCATTGCACAGTCTAGATTCAGCCACCTCCAAAAAGCCCACCCCCAGACAAAATGAGGCTATGGGGGGACATCTAGACACAAACCATAACTTTCTGCCCCCTCACCCCCCAAAGACGCATGCACAACACTTCATGTAAAGTCCATCTTCAAGAGCCGCCAAAGTCCTAACAGTTTTAGCATTGTTGAAAAGTCCAAGTCTCAAGTCTCCTCTGAGATTTAAGGTAAACTCTTAGTTGTGAGCCCCTGTAGAAATGAAAACAAAGTTAAACACTTCTAATATTCAATAACACAACATAGACATTTCCATTCCAAAAGTTACTAACAAGGGAATACAAAGGAATAGGACCAAAGCAAGTACAAAATCCAGCAGGGCAAGGATTAAATCCCTTAGTTCCATGTGCAGCATCCAAAGCCATCTGTGGCAAGATGTGCACGCCAAAGGGCTTGCATGGCCCCACCCCTATGGCACTTCCTGTGGTTGTAGTTCCTATGGCTTTTCTCTTGGGCTCACTTTGCTCCTTTGTTGCATGTTTCCTCAGATGATCCATGTTCCTTTCTTCTCCAAATTTCTGAGGTTTTCACTGTACCTTTGGCTTCACACTCATAGTTTCACATATTGCCTTCTCATGGGCACATTGCCTGGCCTTCTGGGCCTTCTGAAATAGCAGTGGAAGCCTTCCTGACCTCACAACTCTTCTATTCCCTGTACACCTAAAACCAGCACCATGTGAATGATGCCAAGGTCTCCTGCTAGCAGGAATAGTAGTCAGGCTTCCCTCTCTCTTGGTTATAGGAGTCAAGTGCCTGGATCACTGGGCACTTTGAATCCAGTTCCAAGGAAAAAATTCTATAGGTCACCACCATTCTAAAACATGGTGCTCTGTGGGTTTCTTCTTAAAGCAAAATCTTCCACTTTTGCTGTGGAGAAGAGCATTCTTTAGTTACTATTTTGTGTATTGCCTGAGGCCTGACCAAGCCATGACTGGAGGAGGTCTAGCATAAGCATTGTAAGCCCCGGATCAATGGTAAATGCTTTGCTGAGATTTGGGTGAAGAAAGATAACATGATGGCTTACTGGTCAGGTCACATTCCTATGATAATTGAGTTGCATTGCCCTTGCTAAAACAGTTGATATTCTCTGATCCCTCTGCTGCCTCCTTGGTGAGTTCTGGATAAAATGTTATGGAAGATGGTAATCAGGAGTCAGTCAGCCCTAGAGGCTGCTAGCACCTGATCATAGGATTTTGGCTGTCTTGGTTTGATTTATTCTTACTTTTCTTGTACATCTGTGGGCACCTAGTGCAGGGGATCTGTTCACCCTGGACAGGGATGGATAAGATTCCCTACATTTTGCCACTTAGCAACACAAAAAGTGGAGTTCTGCTGCTTCTTGTGATGGCCTCAGGTCATCTTTTCTATTCATCAGTTCTTTCTCAAAAATCAAGATCTTCTCTGCTTTACCTTTGCAGTTCACAGTTTTACTGGAGCTTCCTTCATAGCCAAACTCAAAACATTTTAAATCATTCTGTTGTGCTCTTTGCTCTTGATTCTCAAAATAAATCTGGTTAAAAGGCCCTGACTGTAACAATGCCACCACCTCAACATCTAACTGCCTGGAAAATTCTTGTACATGATTAGTAAGTCCATTGCCCTTCGCCTATCTCAGGCAAAGCCTCTGGACAGGAGCAAAATGCAGACAATTTTTCTCCCAAGTCATTACACACACCACCTGGACTCCAACAGCCATTGTAGTCCCTCTTCTCAGAAGAAATCTCCAGAGCCTGGTCTTTACTGGCTTTTTGGTATTCTGATCTCCAATCAGAATCTTCCACACAGAACAGCCTAAGGCATTCCAGCTCTACTTTTTCATCCAGTGTCTCTGAAGTCTTCCAAACTCTTCCCACAAGCCATTCCCAGAGGCTCCTGATTCTCCTGGTCAGGTGTAGTCACGGCAATGTCCCCACTTCTGTGGTACCAAATTTTGTTGTAGTTGGGTTTACAGGGGAGTAGATTTAACACAGAATACATAATTTATAGCATTATTTTGTAATATTCATGCAAAGAGTCAAATGCAAGAGTGTAGGAGATCTGTCCACATACTACAGACCCAAAGAATCCAGCTGAGGACTTAGATCCCATGGCAATTCCTGCATGCATCCAGCTGAAGACCTAGAGCTCATGGCAATATCCTCCACATTCCAACTTGAGGCGTACGGCCCATGACAATGTCTCACACAAGTCTGTATCAAGGATCTGCACTGGGAAGGTCCAAAGGTCACTGGTGGAAGCTAAAGAGTTTGTGCCTGTGGGATGAAGGATCTGTGCCAGCAGGTTGAGGGATCTGCACTGGAGCCAGGAATCACAGCCATCCTTAGTGACAGTGAGGATCAGAGGCCCTCTGACAGTGAGAACAGCTGAGTTCATATGAAGAAAACCAGCGTGACAAACTTCTCCAGGAGAATCAACAGTGCACCATAGTTCTCTGTTCACACTGTTGGCAATAATCCTCAGGTTAGATCCCCTGGCCATCCACAACCAGCACCACACTCATTCAGTTTAGCTGGGTGTTACAAGTTGATCTTTAATTGAAAACAAGATCACTACAGATAAAAGTAATTAAACTTGACCATACTGGAATACCAAGGGCCCTTAATCCAATATAACAGGGTGCTGATGAGAAAAGAGGTAGGGGATGCCACTTAAAAATTCATGGCAGTAAAAAATGGGATGATACATGTATAGCTAAGTGACACCAAAAATTTCAAGCAACCACCAGAAGCCAGAAAGAGGAAAGGAAGCATTCTCCTCTGAGCCTTTCATTGGGAACAAGGTCCTGCTGAGAACTTGATGTTGGATTTCTAGACTCTAGGATTTTGAGAGAATAAATTTCTGTTGTTTAAAGCCACTAAATTTGTCATACTTTGTTACAGAAGCCTTAAGAAACCAATACAAGAATATAAAAACTTTTAAATAGACTCTTAATTTAAAGAATAATATTTTGATCATCCCAAGAATTTATAAACCAGAATTTTCTTCAGATTAGGCTGAGTAGACATATAGAGCCTTTTTCACAGAAGACATTTTCTCATATACCGCCAGTGTTTATTTAAACTATTTTTGTTATTAATTACATTAATTTTATATGATAAATGATGCTGTTTCACTGAACATAAATAGCAACTAACGGGTCTAATACCAGATTACTTGCAAATTTTACACTCAACTTATTTTGGGGTGGATTTAAAAGTGGCCTCGATGCTCCTGTCTCCTGATATTTACACCCTGTTCAACCCCTGTCCTTCTGTGTGGTAGCACTTGTCACTTGCTTCTAACCAACGGAATGTGGCAGAGGTTGTCAAAGGAGGAAAAAATGTAATACTTCATGAGTTTACTTTGAATCTAGTGTACTCTGGTGCCTATGATGATAGTGCTGATGAGGAAGATGATAGGTAACATTCATTATGTGCTAGGCGTTGCACCAAGTACTTTGTGCATATTATCTCTTGTAATCTTTATCACAATTCTTCAATTCCTGTATTTTTTCCATATTACAATAATGAAATTTAAGCTTAGAAGGGCTGAAGTGTGGAGGCATGGAAATAAAAGTGCCCAGCATAATAAATATCATTTGTAAAAAGTTCACAGCTAACCTATTGAATGGGGAAAAACTGAAAACTTTTCCATTAAGATCTGTTACAAGAATGCCTGTTCTCCTTATTTCCATTCAACATAGTACTATAAACAAATTGTATCATGTACAGGTGCAAATTCTCCATGATGAATGTGATCATTACATAGTATATCTAAAATGTACCAATGAAATCTGATTGGAAATAAATAAATAAATAAAACGTAGTACTAGAAGTACTAGCAAAAGTAATCATACAAGAAAAGGAAATGAAATGAATCCAAATTAAAGTGGGAGACTTAAAAATTGTACCTCCATTTGCAGATCATAAGATGCTATGTGTTAAAAACTCTCAAGGATTCCATAAACAAATCTATTAAAACCATAAGCGAATTAAATGAAGTTGCAGGATACAAAATCAACATATAAAAATTTGTAACATTTTTATATACAAATAATCTAACAAAAGAATCAAGAGAACATCCCATTTAATATGGCATCAAAAATAAAATAAAATACCTAGAAATAAATTTAACCAACAGGGTGAAAGATTTGTTTGCTGGAAACTATAAATCATTGATGAAAGAACTTTAAAAAGAAACAAAAAATGGAAAAATATCCCATAAATAAGCGGAAAAATTAAGACACAAGAAAGAATCAGAAGAACTAGTTTTGCTAAAATAAATACAATACTCAAAGCAATACACATATTTAATGAAATCTCAATCAACATTCCAAAGAAATTCTTCACAAAAACAAAAATAATCCTAAAATTCACAGGAAATCATAAATGACCTCAAATATCCAAAACAATTCTGAAAAAGAAAAACTGGAGGTATCACACTCTTTAATAGAAAAAGGCAAAAGATATATACGATCTGAAGAGAAACCTGAGTATTACACACTTCTTTATAAACCATGGTAGAAACTACAACTTTTTCCTTGAAGAGAAGCCTCCTATGTTCTAATAAATATTTTTCAAAGCATGTTTCTGCCAAGCATCAAAGGCAGAAATCTTTGTATGCTTTCAGAGAAGCCCTGAAATATCTAAATAATCTAAAAGGGAATACTTAATTCTAGGTTGGTGAAACATAAGCATTCCCTGAGGTTCTAAGAAATAACTGAGGGAGCTGTTACAGTTTTGTTAATTACACATAATGAGACTTGACTGTATTCATTGATCTTAAAAGAAGTTTCACCTGCAGGAGGGAAATGTGAGAACAGGCAAGCAGTGATATGTTGATAAATGTTTAATAACCTGGTATCCAGGAACAGAATCCAAAGCCCTGACTCATATTGTTGGCCCAATTCTGAACACCTTTCTAGATTAGAAAGAGTAAATAGCAACTTGGGCTGAAATGCCAAAGGCAGCCTCACTGTTAATGAGGCTGGAAGGAACAAGCACATAAAATCAGCTGCAAAGTTAACAGGACATGTTGTTTCTCCCAAGGTTGTGTGGCTGTAACACACCTAAAGACCTCTCCCATGAGTGGTTATTGGTTTGTGAATAGTGACACTCCGTGGTGCCTTTTGCTACACCCAGTTGGAAGCCCAACTGCTAGACCTTCTTACCCTCTTGGCAGCAAGAACCTTTAGTTAATCCTCAGTTCTTTTCCCATCCCAGAAATAGAGCCAAACCAAGTGCATCCCCTCAGAATCTTCCTGGAGGTGCCAACACTTGCAAAGCACAGTTCTGGCACTGCCTTTTCAGGAAGGGGGACACACACAATTCCTGTGTCTACTAATCTGTGCTGAGCCAATCAAGAAATCTAACTTTGTCAAACTATAGGCTGGATGTCTTTGGCTAATGAAACATTAATATTTTCATGGTGTCAGTATCCCACCAAAGATGATTTTAGGCTACTAATGTGAGGCCCCTGAACACAGATTTGGGAAGAGAGGAGCACAGTCCATGAAGTAGGCACAGCTGGCCCCAGAGCACTCCTGCCCAGGTTTCATTCCCAGCAACCACAGAGGAGGTCTGCTTTAATATGCACCTGAGAAGGAAAGTGAGGCATTGAGAGTTCGCATGAACTGTTTAATATCCCAAATCTTTGTCAGACTCACAGTTGTAGTCTTTCATAGCCAGCCCGGGAAGCTTAGTGAGACTTTGCCTCAAATGTAAAAATTTTAAAAAGCTGGGGATGTAGCTCAGTAGTACAGGACTTGCTAAGCAGATGTGAGACCCCCTAGCTCAATCCATAGCACCAAAAACAAAAATCTGATCTCTAGCATCACATTGTTTAATATGTTACAATGTCATTATCATCACTCTTCAATAAATTGTGCATGTGTGTACCTTTGAAAAACTGTACCTTCCATTGCTCATAAAGTATATTTCATAATTCTCCTATGTCTTTCACACACTATACAGTAATGGTAGAACACTGGGCAAAATTTTATCATTTTTAGGTCTCATCTTTGCATTTGAATATTGAGGACAAATACGTTGCCTAGCCCAGAGAATTCTGTATAAATTTTTAAATTAACAAATATAAATTTTTTAGCATATGGTACTATGCTATACGCATAACTGTGTGAAAACTATCATATTGTGGATGTTCAACTTAATAAATTTCTATAGTACTTATTCAATGCTGTTAGATAAAGTGAAATAAATTATTTCAAAAAAGTTTAAAAGATACTTATTCAAATTACTTTCAGATTTTTTATACAGATAATATGATTTTAATCTTTCTGTATTCCTGTTTCCATTTTCAATTTGTTTTACAAAGCGAACTTGACTGGTTTAACAGCACAGTGCTGTACTATTTTCCACATTTCTGCGGGTTGACTAGATGGTTCTGTTAGTCATGTGGGGATAACTGATATCTCTCATATGGTTATATTCAGCTGGAAATTTGCCTGGAGCACCTTGATTTTCTTGCAATTAGCCTCCCTGTCCACACAGTGTCTCATTATCCATGGCCATTCTGCATCATTTCAATCTCCAGCAATCTATCTGGGTTCCTTACAGCACGTTAAATATGTTCCAAGATGGAGTGTCCCACAAGGATAACTGTGTATGCACGCCCTCAACAAGCCTGGCTTGTGTCATACTGGTTCATGTCCATTGACCACAAGTCAAGTGGTCAATCCCAGAATCCTTGTAGAAGGTGTCTCACAGGATGTCAGTATGGATAGGCACCATTTGGGGCACCACCAATGCACGAGCCTGCCATGGATTCTTATTCATATTCATACACAAACCTCTTTTAGAATCAAAGAGAGGATGCCAAGCAGCTCTCCTTAGTAGAGAGTTTTTATTCCCATGAATAATGAAAGCAGAACTGCACTGACTTAAAGTTCCTGTCATTCTGATTCTCTGTGTCACATGTGCGTGACCCTGTCATACAGTGAGTCTTAGAAATAATAGCAAAGTCATTTTAATGAGCTGAAGAAAAGTGAGTAAATCCCTTAAGTACCAATTTCAGTCTACCTCAGTGCGCTAAAAAAGTGTCACAGATAATGATTATCATTCGTCTGACAACACACACATAACATCATCATTAGGGTCGCCATTACAACCATTACAGCTTTATTAACATCTGTCCCTGAAATTTCCATTTGAAAGGCAATGGCAATTTCATTTTTAAATCAGTTCTAACTATGATTGGCTACACTATGTATTTTGTTTCTGAAGTCAGTTCTCCTGACAAAAGCTGACTATTTCACTTGGAGTGAAAAAGAAAAGGCCATTTTAAAAAAGAGAGCTATTATTGCATGTCTACAATAATTACAAGCAAGATTCAATTTCATGCTCTAAAATATTCATTGCAAATTTTTGATTTAAAGATAATTCTATTTCATATTCATGTATAGTTTCCATATGCATAGCATAAATATTTACAGTTAATTATAGAGAAATTCACACATTAATTCCAGTGGCATGAAAACATATTAATAAATTTACATTGGTTGCTGATTCTTTTTCAAAATGGGCAAAGAAAAGGATGCTATATAGATGTGGCGGCAAGAGACTTCAGTTTGGGGATTTCTCTGTACCCGGCGCCTTTCCAAGGCCATATATGCTTAATTATATGCTTTGGAAAATTTGTGAAATTAGGATATTTTATCTTAGGACATGTGTCCATTCTGAATTCGCCTCCATAACATGTCCCCTCCAGGAAAGTGGTATTGGAGTAGCTGTGACATTTTTAGAACCTGGTTAAAAAAAAAGTTAAGTCAGGGATATATTTGATCTGGGTGTGGTGGAGTATATGTATGTGGCTTTCAGCTGCTTCGGTGTTACTGCCAGTTGTTCCAGTATAGCTTTCAGATATAACATCTCTCCTACAAAAGCGTACACACTTGTGCACCATGCTGACCCACAGGTTCAGGCCAGAGGTCCTACCTGTACCTTTACCACAGAGGTTGGTTGTAAATGGAGGAAGAACACAGTTTGAAATTTATGAACTACACTTCTCCATTGTGAATCATACACCATATACCAAAAACTTGTGTGAGAAGAAAATAATAGTTATACCATTCGGTTAGTTAATTGATTAATTAATAGCGAGTCAATTAGCTAATCAAAAGTATATGCTTTCTTTCTGGATTTTGTTACCTTAGGGATACTTGTCAGCTTTTAAATTTTTGTCAACTGTTATTACGCCTTTTCACAATCACTTGATACTTATTGTGGTATTACTACTTGCATATTCTCTTTTTAAAGAAGGCCCCTCCAACTGTATAAGCAAACCCTGAATCAACTCCCATGGTAACTAACCTCTGATATGGTGAATATTCTCTTATTTGAGAGCCTGAGTTTCTGGTCAGTAGTAAGATCATGTTCAGCAAATTCTCTTCTTGCTGTTTCCATTTTTCTTTTTATTCATGAAGACCATTCATCTAGAAAATGTAACTTTACTCTCTTACTTTCAATGCTAACATATAAGATACAGATAAATCTTGGCCAGAAGATGTCATTAGTCATGGCTAATTGTGTTAGTCAACATTCTCAAGAGAAACAGAAGATCTGACTCGGGCGATTGTGGAGACTGGCACATTGCACTCTACAGGGTAGACTGACAGGCTGGCCGCCAGGGAGGAGCTGGGTCTGAGGGCAGAATGCACAGTTCCCTGTTCAATAGGCAAGTCTGCCTTTTGCTCTCTGGATCTTCAGCTAAGAGAGGAAACTCCATCCAGTTTGGAGGGTGCCTTAGTCACTGTCTTGTAACTACAATGCAGTGCCCAAGCCAACAATTGCGAAGAGTCTGTTTGGGCTCATACTTTCACATGTCTCATGGTTGGCTGGGTCCAGGCAGAAAGAGCATGGCAGACAGGCACAGCCCAGGGCAGCTGCTTAGGGAGCATCCAAGAAGCAGAGAGTGAAGAAAGCAGCTAAAAATGAAGGTAATACCCTCTGGGCCACACCTCCAGTGAGGTTCTCTTCCAGCCAGGCCCTGCCTCGGAACTGCAATTTAGCTATGGCATCCTGAGGATTCAATCACTTTCCAAAACCAACCTATGAGCATAGGAGCCCTTTGGGGACTTTCTGAATCTAATCCATAATAGAGGGCAATCTGCTCTACTCAGAACCTACTAAGGAAAATCTTATCTGCAAATACCTTCACAGCAACATTAAGACCAAAAGGGGCTGGGGATTTAGCTCAGCGGCAAAGCGCCTGCCTGGCAAGCGCACGGTCGTGAGTTCGGTTCCCGGTCCCAGAGAAAAAAAACCAAAAAACAAAAACAAGAAAAAAAAAAAAAGACCAGAGCCAGGCACAGTGGTGCATAATCCCAACATTTATAATCCCAACATTTGGGAGGCTGAGGCAGGAGGATTGCTGTTGAGTTCAAGGCCAGCCTGGGCTACACAAGCAAGTTCAAGGCCAGCCTGCACTACACAGGGAGACTCTGTCTCAAAAAGAAAAAAGAAAAAACTTTAAGACCAGAGAGTGACAAAACACCTGAAGAGTGTGGCCTAACTAAGTTGACACATAAAGTTAAACCCACTGATGAATACACAGCTAAAAGGAGGAAGCACCATTGCCACCTTTACTTCAATTATGACATGAAGACATGTGTCACATTCTAATCCTTTGCCAAGCTGACAGGTCCTGTGAAATTGAGTGCAAACTTAATTTTAAAGAGGACAGAATAAAGTATCTATATCCAGGTGAGAGGAGAACAAAGGAGGGATTGGCTCCAAACTCAGAGACAAAAACAATGTTGTCTGTGCTGCTTCTCATGGCACAGGCAAGGTGGACAAATGTCTCCACCCACATCCAGTCAGGGAGCTCCACAGTCACAGACAGGAGCAGAAGCGGCATGATAAATAAGTGGCATGTGAGAAAGCCCCACCTGGACACAGTCCAATAACCCAACCCTTTTGGAGATCCTTTTCATGTAAAAGAAATTGTATCACAAAAAGTAGGAGCTGAAACCAAACTACCAAACTCATCCATCAGGAAGCTCGTGCTGACCGAGACCAGTATTTTCAGATAGTTCATACTCAGTCACGGCCGGCTGAACTACACTGAGGAAAACAACGTTCTGGCTGCTGGGTGCAATGGAAAGTTATGCCGCTGGTGACATTCCTGGAGTCCCTGAGGATGCCAGCAGAGACTGTTGTTGATAGACAGCATCTTATGCTCCCTGCCTCTTACCTTAGCATCATGCAAGGAAAAAAGAAGGTTTTGTGTATAGGGGTGTGGTAGACTAACAACTAATGGTCAACTTGTACTATCCAGCTGAACTGAATCAGTATAGTTCTGGATATGGAATCGCTCCTGAGGATTGCTGCCAACAGCATAAAAGCAGAACTAGAGGGGAACATGGGGCGCTGTTGATTCTCCTGGAGAAGTTTGTCATGCTGGTGTTCCTGATGTGAACTCAGCTGTTCTCATCATTGGAGGAGGAGCTTGGGACCTCGCTGTCACTAAGGATAGCTGTGGTTCTCTTCAGGGGCACTCGGGTCCTTACCTTGAGCATCACTTCCTGGCTCCAGCACAGATCCCTCAGCCTGATAGCACAGATCCTTTATCCTGCTGGCACAGACTTTCTAACTTCCACCACTGGCCTTTGGGCCTTCCCAGCACAGACCCTTGATACAGATGTGCATGAGACTGCTGTGGGCTCAAAGCCTCTAGTTGGACCAGTGGAAGACATTGCCATGGGCTCCAGGTCTTCAGTTGGACTCATGCAGCATGTTGCCCTGGGATCCAAGCCCTCAGCTGGCTTCTATGGGTCTCTAGTGTGTGGACAGATCTCCCACATTCTTTGTGTTTGACTCTTTGGGTCAGTATTATAAAATAATCCTATAAATTATGTGTCCTATATTAAATTATTTCTCTTGCAAACCCTGACTACAACAAAACTGGTAACAGGAGAGGGGCCATTGCTGTGACATTGTCTGGCCAAGTGGCTTAAGAGCCTTGAGAATGAATTTGGAAAGACTTTTTTTTTTATTTTTTTATTTTAAGGAGAAAAAAATAACAAAATAACAACAACAAAGACAAAAACAATAAAAATAATACAGAATTTCAAAACAAGATGATAGGAATTAACAATGGTTGTTATGTTACATATTGTTATCTTCAGTAAAGTTGCTCAGATAACCAGATGTAAAAATGCAAGATTGATCAAACAGTTAAATAGAATGAAAAGTAATTTAAAAAGATACAGAGCTTCACTAAACAAGATGATAAGAGTTCAACAATGGGTGTTATATTCCATATTGTTGTCTCCAAATTAGTTGTCCAGATTACCAGGTATAAATATGCAAAATCAGTCAAAAAAAATTTAAGTATTAACTGTGCCTTTCAAAAAACCAACAAACATCAGCAGTACAATTATCCCAGCTATCCTTGTAGATACATATTTTTTCCCTTCCTTCTTTCTTTTCTCCTTTTCCTCATCCCAGCTGTGCCCTCCCTTTGAACAATTTCTTTCCCTTTCACAATATCTATTGTACTTTTCAGGTTTTATTTACTGTATCAGGTTCTTACACTATGGAGAATTTTGGAGGCCTGATTTTTTTTTTAATTCTTTATATGTTCTAGATAGAGAAGTCCTTTGTCCAAGGGGCAGTTGGCTAAAATCTTTTCCCATTTTGTGGAAGAAAATTTTACCCTGTTACCCTGTTGGTGATTTCTTTTTACCCTGTTGGTGATTTCTTTTGGTGTGCAGAACTTTTCAATAAGATGAGATCCCAGTTGTTTATCCTTTGAAGTATTTCTTGTGCAGTTTGGTTTTTGTTCATGAACTCTGTGCCTACCCTTATGTCTTCAAGATTCCTACCTACTTTCTCTTCCAGTATATTTAGTGTTTCTATTTTCATATTTAGATCTTTGATCCATTTTGACCTTAGTTTAGTGCATGGTGATAGACATTGGTCTAGTTTTAGCCTTTGGCATACAGAGAGCCAGTTTTTTCAGCACCACTTATTAAAGAGGCCATCTATCTTCCAGTGAACATGTTTGGCCCCTTTGTCAAAGATAAGGTGGCTGAGGGTGTTTGTAGTTATGTCTGCATCTGCTAATCTGTTCCATTGATCCTCAGGTCTCTTTTGTTTTTTTTGTTGTTGTTGTTGTTGTTGTTTTTTCGGGGTATTCTTTTTTGCCAGTACCATGCTGATTTTATGACAGTAGCTTTGCAGTATGATTTCAAGTCCTGCAAATGAAGGAGGAGGATGTCCTCACATTCCTTGCAGGAACTCACTTGGGTAGCACCAGCCTGGATTTTCAGATGAAGCAGTATATCTATGAAAGGAAAAATGATGGAATCTACATCACAAATCTGAAGTGGACCTGGGAGAAGCTTCTGCTGGCAGTTTGAGCCATAGTCGCCATGGAAAACCCTGCTGACGTCAGTGTCATAGGCTCTAGGAACACCGGCCAGCACACTGTGCTGAAACTTGCCGCTGCCTCTATAACTACTCCTATCCCTGGCCACTTCACTATACTAACGTTTACTAACTGCATCCAGGCAGCCTTCCGAGAGCCACCTCTTCTGGCGGTTACTGATCCCAGGGCCACCAGCCCCTCACCGAGGTGTCTTACATCAATCTGCCAATCATTGCTCTATGCAACACAGGTTCTGCTCTGCCCTATGCAGACATTGCCATCCTGTGCAACAAACAGGGAGCTCACTCAATGGGTCTGAAGTGGTGGATGCTGGCCCGGGACGTGCTGTGCATGCGTAACACCATCTCCTGTGAACCCCCATGGGAAGTCATGCCTGATCTCTACTTCTACAGGGATCCTGCAGAGGTTGAAAAGGAAGAGCAGGCTGCTGCTGAGAAGGCTGTGACCAAGGAGGCATTTCAGGGAGAATGGACCGCACCAGCTCCTGCATTCACTGCTGCTCAGGCTGAGGCTGCAGACCGGTCTGAAGGCGTGCAGGTGCCCTCTGCGCCTATTCAGCAGTTCCCTACCGAAGACCGCAGTGCTCAGCCGGCCACAGAAGATGGTTCTGCAGCCCCCACTGCACAGGCCACTGAGTGGGTGGGAACCACCACCAAGCGGTCTTGAGTTTTTCTGTAGACACTCAAACAAAATGGGAATGAGGTTGATGGAAAACAAAACAGCAGCCAGGCATGGTGGCACACGCCTGTAATCCCTCCTCCCTGGGGAAGCTGAGGCAGGAGAACCGTTGTGAGTTCGAGACTAGCCTGGGCTACAAAGTGAGCTCAAGGCCAGTCTGAACTGCACAGCAAGACCCTGTCTCAAAAAGACAAAAAAAAAGAAAAGAAAACAGCAATTTCTAAAAAAATTAAATTAAAATATGGACAAAGAGGTTACCACATTTGTACCACCTTCCCAGCACTGACCTCAGTGAAGTCTTAGAAGCTATGAGGGCGATGCTACCAGTATCCTACGTCATCAGTTCATTTGTCCAAGGTGACTGAGCAAGAAAGCCCGGGCAACCCCGTCTGCATGACCACCTCACTGCAGCCATTGGGAAAACCAAGCTTCTGTCACCTGCTTGCAAGATGCTGGAGACATAAGAAGAAGCACAGAGGGAGTAGCTTAAGGGTGGGGGATACCGATCACCCAAGACACTGCTCTGGAATCTCTGAATGCCTATAAAATAAAAAAGGAATCTTCCTCACAAGAGATAGAATCAGTGCAGATCTGAGAAGTCAAAGGGCACAGTGGGCACTACAGCTCTAGCAATTGCAGAGACATTTCTAGTCCTTGTGACCTCAGCCACTTCCAGCTAGGCAGGGGCAGGGGCAGGATTCTCGCGGCTGCCTGCATATACACAACAGGCAGCACTAGGCAGCCAGCACCAAGTCTATCTAAAGGAAGGGAAGTGTCACACTGTGTGATCCCTAGGAACGCTCCGTGTGAGCACTTACGGGGATTTTTGGGCACTCCCAGGACTACTTAGGCCGAGCGCCCTTGGAGGCAGCTGGAGCCTCGGAGATAAGCATAGGCAGAGTCAGTGCAGTAACCCACATGACCGAAACTCAGAGCCTCCTTTCTTTCCCGGGCTTTACGTGGTCTGTGCACAGGCTCTGTGCTGACTCGTTCAGCCTAATTAGCGCGTTGCACTCCTCTAATCTCACGACTGTGCTTCAGACTCCGGCTCGGCGGAAATGCTCCATGATTGTTCAATCAATTTTTCTTGACCTCAGAAAGGAAAACTAATGAGTCAGTGGAGAATGAGCTGAGGAAGACGGGCCAAAGGCGATCACTGCTGTGGGAAATGCCAGGGAAGGAATGGGTTCTAGAATGAAGTACACGGCTGTTTCCGAGGACCCATCCTGCAGTGGCCGACTTTCATCGCCAAGTGACCGTGGGAGTCCTGACCCTGACCCTGGAAAGACAAATCCTGAGCAGGAGTCAAGTCCTAAGCTGGGAAGAAAGGGAGCAGATAGGTTTGTTATTCAGTTGAGAATGATCCCATTTAACAAATCAAAATGTTGATGGGAACTTAATTTGCTTTATCAAGAGTTTTTATTAAATGACCCTTAATAGATATTTTATCTCAGCTCCTCATCCTCATGGCTGAGCAAGCAGTGACTCGCACTGTTTGAGAAATACAAATCATTTTCCATAAATAAATAAGAAAACTGCTTGGTTTAGATTTCCGCAAAGTAGTAAACTGCCAGGAAGGCTAACACTAGCAGCAGTTATCCACAAGAGGGCGCCAGAAGCTGACGTTCCTTAGAATCAGTGAACTTGAGATTTTTGAGTTTGAAGACAAAGTTAAAGAAGGAAATCACCAAATAAAAAGCAACAGGTAAGTATATCTGATTCACATGTTGCTTTACGCTAATATTTTAATAGTGTTAAAAATCTCCATAGTGATTCAGGATGCTAAATATGTAAATACCAGCATCTGAGCAAGAGAGAGAGTGGTATCATTCTACTTGAAATTACCTTGCTGAATTACAGTGGGTTTCTAGAAATGAATTAATTTTAACAGGCTTTTCTCCACCTAAAAGGGAACTCAGAATGTTGTTTCAATTATTAGAATCCTTGGCACATATTCCTTGCAACTGCCAATGTGACCTATAAAACAATAGAAAGCAGGACAAGGTACCTGCTGGGGTGTGCCCTGGCCAACTCGCTAAGCGAGGCCAATTTTCAGGACTTGGGCTCTGAAATGAAGCTGTAATGTAGAACGCAAAGACGGGGTTTTAGAATAGTCTGTAATGAAAAACAGAGAGTAAGAAATTTGTTTCAAAAGTCCTCTTTGAAAGGGAAAGGAGGCAAGCATGTGATAGCAAATTTCAGTAGAAACGGATTTAAGTTTTAAAACCAACACTAAGGGCAGACATGCTGAAGAAATAGGTGCCCACCTGTAGCAGGAAATGTAAGACTGGTGACTACGGCAATGCATGCAATACAATTTTATTTGCATTTTTAGTCTCTAGCATCTGTATTTACTCTTGCATTAGATAGTAAAAGAGCTGCCGTCTCTGGTTGGAGCCTTGTGTTTCTTCTTCCAACAGCTTAAATTATAACCTGAACACTACACCCTTTATTATGGGATGATGCATCAGTACAGTCCAAAGTCCTAAAATCTGGTTGCGAACCAGTCAAGCAGATACACAGATTTAAAAGTATGAACAAACAGCCCAGGTTAGGGTCCACAGAGCAGTGAAAACTTGGAGCAGATTTTCACCATTTAATTCACATCTCCACATAGTCCCTCTTTTTACTGTCACGTAAGTAATTACCCCAACACAGTGGCGAAAACAACAAAGATCTATTACCCCATGGTTTCTTTGCATTGGAAATTCAGTAGAACCTCTGCAGGTGATTGGTCTGGGGTCTCATGAGACCACAGATGAAGCTAACCCAGGCTGTCATCATCTGAAGGTTTGGTGGAGGCAGAAGGATTGCCCTTGCAAGAGTGCTCGCCCTGCGGCTGTGGAAGGAGGCCTCAGTTCCTCACCTGTCAGCCGCTCCGCAGGGCTGCTTGAGAGTCCTCACAACATGGCAGCGGCCTTCTCCCAAACAGGGCCAGGACAGAGGTATGAGCTGCCTGTCTCTTGTGGCCTAGCCTTGAAAGGTGAACTCTATCTGTTCCTCAGGACAGTCCACTCCAATGTTGGAGAAAACTACTTAAGGACAATGAAGACCCTGAGGCTAGAGTCAGTGAGGGCCCCCCGGAAGCTTGTCCTAGCGCAGCTCCACCAATCAGAGTACTTACAGCGTTCCCTCCATGGCAAATACAGAAACAGGCAGAGCCCTTCTAGACAGAGACAGAAAAATATCTCTGCCAGAGGCTCTTTTCTATCTCGTTCCTCCCAGACTGTATGACTTTCCCTGGGTCCCCTTTCTCCTGACCCTCACCCCTTTAACCAGATAATTCCAGCCTGTGTCTGCGTCTGTCATTACTTAACTCCTTCACAATACACAGATGAGTCGTTCTAGAGGGTTCCAGTCACTGAGGGAAAAAGAGGAAAGAGAAAAATATCTTTCACTGAGGTGTGTCATGTTTGTGTGTCTCTGTGTGTGTGTGAGACAAGTCATCAAGTCAGGCTGGTGTCACACTCTCGGACTCAAAGTGCTCCTCCTGCCTCGGTCTCCCAAGTGCTAAGATTATAGGCACATGGCCTGGCACCTTGCTTCTGGTCAGTCTTTTAGATTCTCAGTACAGAGTCACCCTTGCTTCATACCAAGATTAATGCCTTTAAATTTCTCTCTTGTTCACATTTTGCTAAAGAATCTCTATCTCTTCCTCAGGTCAAATTTCCCAAAAGCCGTTTGCTTTATTTCAATATAAGCCAAACTTCGGGTGGGGTAAATGGTGGGGAGATGAGGAGAAAGAAGTGGAAATGCACATTGCCACACAGTGACGGCAACCCACAAGGCACTTATAGATTGCTCCTTGGGTATGCATCTTGTCCATAAGATGTAAGCGCCACAAATGCAGACAGCGACTACTTAAGACTAGAGATTTATGGAAGGGCAGCCTTGGAAATGAATTGCAGGAACAGAATGCCGTGATGTCTCCCCTCCCCTGCTGTGTGAGAGGGGAGCGGGCATGCTGCCTCCAAAGCAGATCACATGAAAAGGAGAGTAAGATGACTGTAAGACATAGGTCACTTTTTACAGGAAGTTCGCTGGGTGGCCAAAATATGTAGGCCCCTTCATGAGCCCACATGCGGCGCCCTAACGTTTGCCTCCGGGTGTTCGTGACTACACAGACTGAGTTGGACTAGGGGCCCTAGAGGAATCTGTAAGTAAGGACAGCCCACGGTGGTAGGGCAAGGAACAACAGCCTTTGATGGGTAGGTGGGTCTGGATGCATGGGTTTCGCCCTTGCTACGTGCTCTGCCTGCTTGGGCAAAAGCCTTCAGGAGCACCAGGCAGGAGCCAGGATGCAGAGTCTGAAAAGCATCAAGCAGTAACACAGCACAAATGTTAGGAAACATCAGGGCAGGGGCGCCTGTGAATGGCGCAGGGCCAGAGGATCCCCCAGAAAGAGAGCAAACAGTGGACGCCTGCCGACGTGAAGAGCACCCAGCATCCAAAACACAGCGGGGCTCCTGAGTAAGCGCTTCCCAGAAAGTCACTCATTCAGTCCTCCCAACCTTGAGTCGTTTTCAAAATAAGACCATGGTTGGGACTTGACAAGTGAGGAAAATACACTCGGGGGTTCTAACTGAAGTCATGAGGCAGTGTGTGGAGGGTTCCTACGCCCAGGCGCTACTGCCCAGACCTTGAAGGACCCCGGAGGTGCACGTGTTGAAGGCCGGCAGCACAGACCAAGACCCTCAGGCGAGGGGTGGAACCTTTAGGAGCAAGACCTGTGGAAGAGAGTTAGCGCTCTCGGATGTGCCCTGGAAGGGGATGCTGGGGCCCCGCCCCTCGGTGTCCCGGTGCAGGCGCTCCACCGTGCACTCCCACCACGTCTGCGCAGCCGCAGCCCAAAGGCAACGGGGCCGTAAGCCACAGTGAAACTTTCCTTTTCACTTCACTATCTCAGATATCTTTTCACCGTGAGTGACAGAGAGCAAAAGAGCCAGCTGTCTGACTCCAAAGTCCAGGGCCTTAAGCAATGTGTGTTT